AGGGGCTTCCCCCCCCCCCCCCCCCAAACATAGTTTTAACACTGGGGAACCCCAGGGAGTTTGCTCCAGATTCTTCCTTTAAGGCTTGTTGGCCGCCTTGTATTCCTCGTTTCTTTAGCCGCTTGCTCTCTTTTGCCATCCCATAATTGTCTGCCTTTCTTTCCCTTTGCAGCTTCCACCGCCTGGCCCCTAAATTAAAAATAAATGCTCCAATTAAAAATTGCAGGTTCAAAAAAGGCTGGAGGAGGAACTACCGGTATTACAAAGGCTCTCGAGTGCTGCCCTCCTGTGGTTGTTCTGGGCTATTGCAGCTCTAGAGGGCCGCCCTCTGGTGGTGCTTTGGGGCAACTGCAACCCAGCAAAGGACAGTTTTGACGAAGTTCGACTTGAAAAAAATGATTGTGGTCAGCTTATTGTTACGACCTGCTGTTTTGCTCTACAAGGAGCCAAGGTGCACAACAAACTTTTAAAAGGGATATTTCATTTCTGATATAAATATTAAAACATGAACAGGCCATCCTAAGAGCCAAGGCACGCTGATTGAAAGCCACTGTCCTTTGACTCATTTTTTTGCTCACTGGGTGTGACCCCTAAATTTGCTGCTGGCTGTTAACACAACAGGTGAGGAATGCTAGCTAAGGCCCTGCTCTGCAGGGCTGGCGCTGCCTGCTCTCCTCCACCACCCTAGGGCTGCCAACTGAGATTTGGGCCCTGCTGCTTTATCCCAGTTCTTTCATTGCTGAACAAAAGTCACCAGAACTGACATTTCAAACGTTTTTTTTTATTTTTGGGGAGGGATTATTGGTGCCCCCAAAGCTGGGGATCCAGACAGCTTCACTTTCCAGTAAAATTTGCTAGCCCAATGCCTTGTGTTTGGAGGTGTATTTTTAGGGGGAAATTCGGATTTTAAAAATCAGGTTTGTTTCCCTACAACCTGGAACGCAGGCGGGTGCTTTCTTTCTGAGTTTGTTGGTTTTCTTGCAGACGTTTCATGACCCAACTAGGTCACATCATTGCTAGAAATCCAGAAACCAACTCTCTGCTAGCACTGACGATGTTACCTAGCTGGGTCACGAAATGTCTGCAAGAAAACCAGCAAGCTTAGACACCAGCAAGGGCCCCACAGTTGGGAGGGAGTAAAGGTTGGTAGCCATTTGGGACACCCCACCCCAAAATCCCAGGGCCAAGCTGGGGAAGACACGGCACCCCTCTCCTCCTGGAGAATCCACATTACAGAGAAGGGGAAGGAAAGAATGCGATAAGGGAAAGCTACCCTCCGGTGATTTTTTACTGGGGTCCCTTCCGTCCCCTAGGACGTTCCCCCATTTCATCTGCACTCAGGGAGACCACCCACCCACCCGCCTCTTTCCCATGGAAGGAACACAATCACACAGCACAGCAAAATTATATCCGCAGGGAGGAATCAGTTGGCGCTGTCATTGGCAAGGGACCAAAACTGACCACCACCACCCATCTGAGTAGGGGGATTAAAGCAAGCTAAAGGTCCGAATCTCTCTCGAGACCCCAAATTCATGCAGCTTAAAATAGCTCAGCGCTTCCTGCTGTGGCGAATGAGCTGAGTGGCGGGACCACCCCCCCAAAAAAAAGTCCCGGGTGGAGCCCCGAGGAAAAGGGCCAAGTGAGGCGTTTGGCCAGCCGAGCTTAATGAAGGACGGTGAGGAGGGAGGAGTGGAGATCCGTCTTTGAGGGATAAAGAACTTTTAAGTTCCCTTCTGCGTCCACCACCCGGACCTGCTCCAAGACCAGGGGGCTGCTTGGGGGGCTGCTTGGGGGGCTGCCTTCGGGCGCGAGGATTTCGTGATCCGACCCGGCTTCCCCGTCTTTGTGGACTGCAGTCAGCTTGTTCAACTCGGCCATTTTCTGCAATTCAAAATTCAAGGAATAACCATCATAATAAAAGAGATTATTTAGTTACAACCCCCCCCCAAAAAGTATTTGACCTGATTCTGGAGTTCCACAGCCCACTCTGGTCAATTCTAGGCGCTTGGCAACTGGCCAGCATTTATGACTGACTGTTTGCCACGTCCTGCTGTTACCCAACCACGATTTATGACATTTTTGCTGAAACCAGGGTTTACTTCTGGGTTCTGGCCAAAGCGCCCACTGCAAACAACGGGCTCATTTAATGAGCACAGAGTTTACTTTAAGATCGCCATGTTTGCTGCAAAAAGGCCGTAAAATAGGCCCGGTCACGTGACTGACTCGCTTTACGTCGGTCATGACTTTTGACTGGAACTGGCAGATCCCACTGTAGTCGTAAGTTGGGGACTACCCGTGAACCTGTTATTAGGCTGGATGCACGCCTTGTGGTCCCAGCTGTGGGGTGCGATTCCCGACAGCCCGAGGCCCATGGTTCCCAGCACTGATATGAGAGGCGGGGAAGGGTGGGGGGAAGGAGGACGTACCACAATGAGGGTGTCCATCACATCTTTGCACAGCTGAAGGCTCGTGCCGCTGGTCACTTCGAGAAGCAAATCGGTGGTGGTTTTCCCAAGCTTTAACAGAAACATGAGCAAAAACCACCCCTGCGTTTACAAGAAGTCCTTGATTTACAACTATTCATTTAGCGACTGTTCAAAGTTGCAACAGCCCTGGAAAAAGTGATTTTCAACCAGTCCTTGCACTGGCGTTGCTTCGGCTTCATGATCACATGACCAAATTCAGGCGATTGAATTTATTTTTTATTTAATTTATTTAACTTTAACTTATATGCCGCCCTTCTCCCCCATGGGACTCAGGGCGGCTCACAGCATATTAAAAACAATACAAAACATTTCCCTATAAAAGCCAATTAAAAACCAAATATTTGTAGCTGTGTCTTGTTTAAAATCATTAAAATTGTCCCTATTTAAAAATTCACCCTAGGTCAGTCCCGC